TTCTTGACTCGGGGATCAATCTTCGGGGAATTTGTTTCGGACATGCGTCGATCTAGTTGGTGCTGGACCGCGGTCTCGAGCTTCGCGAGGTTTGCTTAGGGTGGCGTTCGGAGGGCGACGGTTGTGATCTGGAATTGTCAGGTTTCTAAGATCTCGGGAGGATTCCGCGATGTTCGGAACTGGTGCGTTTGAAGGATATCTCGGCCCCTATTACGAATTCGTCTAAATCGATCGAACTTCGTCCAACTACATAGTAACGTTTAGAAGACACTCTGTCTATCCCAGAGTGATCTCTAGCCCCCGAAGATCCGAGAACATTCGCAACCGAGTGAAAGACCGGAGAACAGTGGAGATTAGATGAAAAGCTCGCGAAACGGTGCGATTGTTCGAAAAATGCCGCGGAACGTCTGAAAATCGGATAACCCAGGGAACTGATAAGCCCGGGGGAAGCTGTTTGCGTGGTCGTTCGCGTGGTTTCGCGGAGTCGTTGGCCTCGGGTCGAAGAGAGAAGGTGGAGGCGGTACATCGCGGTGACGTGGGTGGGAAGCCGAGCCTTATGAATGAACCGTCGCGTACGGGAGTGTGAGTGAATGGAGGAGGATCGAGGCTCGACGCTCACGTGTGAGCGCGGCGTGTGTGGGAGGGCGGCTGGGGCACGCCGAGAGGAGAAACGGGGAGAGAGAGATGCGACGGTGTCTGCGATGCCAGAGCCAGCTGGAGAAAGCGGGACACCGAAACGCGCGGGAGAGAAAGATCGTCGTGGTGTACCACGGGACAATGCGGCTTACACGCAATTCGCGCGGTGCGCGCAGGGTTCGCCGTTTTTACGCGCGTAGCGAGAGGTCGATGCTTGCCTCGGATACGCGCCGAGGTCCATTGCGAAACGCGCTCTATCGCTTTGCATCGACCGTTTCCATATTCAACTGAAAAGGTGCTCATTGTCTCTGCCGAATAAAACACTGCAATCTCGCCGGCATCTCTGTCGCTTCGAGTAACAATCCTGCACTGCGACGGCGATCTTAACACTTTGGCTGCCAAGAAACTCGTCGAAACTAGATAGAGACTCTGCCTGTCTTGTGTCTGATATATCCAAGAATTTATGTGAAAAATGTCGCCAAAGTTCGGATGACGTGCAGTCTTTTAAACGACGGTCTTAGTTCCGAAAGACGCGTCGGTAACCGAGCGATGCAACTGTGTTGCTTCGGAACGCGTCCTTCGAATTCGCATCTGTCGTCGAGACACTGCATAGTGTTATATAATACATCGATAATAACTTGGTTGAGCGGAATGTAGATCTATAGCCCTTCTCTCGTGCCTCTAAGTCGCGTACTCGAAACGATTCGCCAAGGAAAATCGTAGCACCGATTTACTATCTATGTATCCTCGAATTCTTAGCGGAAAGTTTCTGAAAATCTGTTTGACCGATTGTTCCAGGACTCTTAACCGGCCAGCACCTAGACATGAAGCAAGAATCCGAGAAACAATCGCTGTCCCCGCCACTGAACAACAACACGTCGCAAGTGATGTTCCCCGGAATGGGTGCCTCCGCGGCCGGTTTGTCGATGCTCACCCCGCAGCAGCTACTAGCAGCGAGCCGGACGGCAGCGCTGATGGCCGCGGGGATTCCCGTCTCGTTGCACGCGACGCTGGCCGGCAGCCCGTCCCTCTACAGACACCATCAAACGCTGTTCAGCGGTTGGGTGCCGCCCGCAGCTTCCTCGCCCCCGTTGCCGATCCATCACTCGTCGAGGCCGGTGTCGCCGGCGCTGAGCACCAAGTCGTCCTCTCGGAGAACCGCCAGCAACGCCGCTAACAACAACAACAACAACAACAATAACAACGTGGTGAGCAGCAGCGGCGACAAGATGATGAAGAAGGGCCAGACCGCCAAGAAGAAGACCGCCAAGTCGAAGAACGACGCTGTGCAAACTCCGATCGAAGGGTCAGCGGCGCCACTTAGCCCACCCATATCCGTCAGCCCGGAGGCTGGCAAAGATGGGAGGGACAAGGTGTTCACCTGTGGCGTCTGCTCGAGATCGTTCGGCTACAAACACGTGCTGCAGAACCACGAGCGCACGCACACCGGCGAGAAACCGTTCGAGTGCCCCGAGTGTCATAAAAGGTGAACAATTGCTTTCGATAGGACTGTGTCGTCTCTTCCTTCTTTTTTTGCTGAGGAGTTACAGTAGTTGAGTCGGTGATAACCGAAAGATGCAATTGAAATCTCGACGAGCGCGTTTCTATGGATTCTATGAGATATTTTAAGTAGATTCGACTAGTTCTAATCGGTTATCAGTTCTCGGATTCTACGGTTCAACGAGCTATTCTGCGAATTCCCCGTTAACACCAAGCATCCTTCCGATTGTTACAGATTCACGCGCGACCACCACCTGAAAACCCACATGCGGCTGCACACGGGCGAGAAGCCTTATCACTGCAGCCACTGCGACCGGCAGTTCGTGCAGGTAGCGAACCTGCGCCGGCACTTGCGCGTGCACACCGGCGAGCGTCCGTACGCGTGCGAGCTGTGTTCCGCGAAGTTCAGCGACTCGAATCAGCTGAAGGCTCATCTGTTGATCCACAAGGGGGAGAAGCCGTTCGAGTGCGAGCACTGTCAGATGCGGTTCAGGAGGAGGCACCACCTGATGCATCACAAGTGCGGCACGGTCACCGGGATGATGATGTCGTCGCGGTCCTCGCAGGTAGCGTCCCCGTCGTTGGCCAGCGACGATCTGGACGAGGAGATGGACATCGACATCGACGCGGACATGGAGGAGATCGAGTCGACGACGCAGTTGGCGTCCGCCAGGAAATCGATCAGCTCGGTCAGGCAGTCGGTTCACCGGCAGCTGCCCAGCCCAGTGGTTAGCACCTCGATGCCCATGCCGCTGAACCTGTCGGGGATACCGATGGTGGGTCTGCCGGAGCAAACGGAGCCGGAGGACCTGTCCATGTCCACCGGGATGCACAGGCCCCACTCGCACTCTCACAGCAGCGGCGACTCGCCCATGAGCCGCAGCCCCAGCAGCGACACCATTCACGAGGAGGACGACGAGGACCTGGACATGTCCGAAGCTAGCCCCAGCAGCCTCTTCCTCCACAATCACCGCGCCGCCGGCCAGTACGCTCACAATCTGGCCGCGTCCCTCGGTAACCCGGCAGCCAACGTCGGCCACGCGTCCTAGTGGAATCTCTAGGGGTACGTAAACTTTACAACTTGGTAGCAAGACAAGTGGAGCAGAGCGAAACTCGTATACACAGTACCGCATCATCACACCAGACCATCCTACTGGTTAACCTTCACAGGCGTCTACCCCGCGAAGACTAACGAGACGTCCCTCGTATCGGGCAGGTTAACCCTTCGCGAATCACGATGCGTTCCGACCCTTCGGAGAAGACACTCGAGTTCCCGTTCGTTTCTTTGAAATTCCTTCAAATTCGCTACTTCTTATCGTTGCCGTGTGCATATTCCGCTGGATTCGAGGGGAACGAACGTTACGAGCAACGCACCGTGCATAGTTCGTTGATCGTTTTGGTTTTCCGGTAGTTGTCCGACAGTTAGAGAATAAAAATGATAAAGGAAAATGGAACAAAGGCGATGGGAGTGCTATTCCCGAAGGGTTGAACTATTCGAAATCTGCGAAAGAAGCGTTACCATCAAACTACTATCTTCTTTGCAAGTTTCATTCGACCTCGAGAGGTTAACGAAACTCGCCTGTGTTTCGATGGGATCGCGTCGTTTGTGTTTAAGGGTAGCTTCCGTCACCTCGCAGATACATACGAAAAACTAACCTCACCTAGCAAAATCCTCCGAGCACCGGTTCACAGTCACTATTGTTAAGATGCTTTTTATAGATATATATATATATATATGTATGTATAAATATAAATATACATACATATATATTATATATAGAGATTATTATTATTAATATTATTATTATTATTATTATTATTAATATTATTATTGTACCTATGAGAAAACAAACAGAATGAGGATGAAAGGATTGATGAGTGATAATGGGTCCGTGAATGTCCTGTATAATGTGTAATTTAAAGG